CTCGCGTTGAACGAAACGTCCTGAAGAGCACATATGTTGTCCGCAGCAACTGTCCAAGAACCATGTATCCTTCCCGGACGGCTCGCTTTGAGCGATGGCGGCGTACGTCGGGTTCGGTTGAAGTGACTCGCGGCGAGGCGTGCTGTTGTCGAGTTGTTCTTCTGGTGAGTAATATGGTGGTGACTCAGTTACGCAGGAGTCACTCAGCCTTGCCATGCAGCTGACGATGTTTCTTGTTCCTTTCGCATGTTGTCCCGTCGATGTTGTTGAGACTTGTACTGAAGTTGTCGGATTTGCTTGCGTTGAGGCGACTTGACTGCTTGAAGGGCGAAGTTGGCGTTGCGGCGACGTTGACTGTTGTCGATTCGGGCAGTGCGTACGAGGATGCCCTGAAGTCTTGCAGAGGTGGCAGAACGGAGGTATGATTTTCGGTCGATTGTTGTTGTTGTTGTGGCGCCGTTGAGTGTGAAACGCGAATTCGGGCACTGATACCTTTCTCTTGTGCCGTTCTTCTTGCAGGTCCATGTCTTGCTGCTCGGCGTGGATTTCGGCGCAAAGTGCTGCTTCAGAAATTTTCCCGTGGGCTCGTAGTATGGCGCGAGTGGAGCGCCAGTGAGGACCAAGACCGCCGATGACAACCGTGACGAAGGCGTCCTCTGAAATCGATCCTCCACATCGAAGAAGCTTGTCGCGCAGCTCGCGGCAGCGACTGATATACGCCATTCCCTTCTCGCCTGGTTTCATTTCGATTGTTGTCAGCTGTGCCATTAACCGACTTTGGTTTATGCTGTCTGTTGCTTGATACAGGCTCTTCAAGTGATTGTACGCGAGCTCCGCGGAGTTGCCGTAGCCTCGGTAAGACCGTATGTTTTGTTGTTGAGTTGGAGTGATGTTCCTCAGTAGTATCGTGTACGCCATCATCGATTGATAGGTGTACTGCTGCTTCTCATACTGTGTGCCGTTTGTTGGGTATGGCAGGGACCCGTCGAAGAAGCCAAGGATTTGCGCTCCTTCCATCATCAGCTCGAATTCGAACGACCAGGTAAAGAAATCCTTCCCGTCGAAGGGTTTTGTCGTTTGCAGTTTTAGAACGTGCGCGAACTGCGACTGAACTTGTAGTGCGTCCAGCGTTCTCTCTTGTCCCGGTGCAGGTTGTGGTTGTGGCATGAAGCTGACGGAGCCGCGCTGGGGCTCGTACGGAGCGAAGGTAGGTTGCTGTTGTTGATTCCCGCGTGCGTAGGATGAGCCATCGAGACTCATGGGCGTCACGTTGTTATTGTTGTTGCTGTTGTTTGATTGCGCAGGTGCTCCTTGCTGATGCTGCTCGTAGAAGGACATGAAGGAGAAGAACTTCTCCATCATGCTTGGATCGAAGCCCGCGCCTTGGTTTGCGGGTGTTTCAGTAGACCCAGCTGCCGGTCTCGTTGTTGTGCCTTCCTCTGTCTGTAGGCCAGAGGCAGGAGGTGGAGTAGGAGTAGTACCAGGAGAGCCGTTGGAGGAGCTCCTCTCCTTTCTGGTAGACATGTCTCTTGGTGTATTAGGTGTTAAGGAGAAATAATTTTAACCCTAACCAGCTCTCATACCATGTTGGGCTGAGTGCCCCTTAGGATCTTTGGTAGGGTTAAACTCTGGGTAGAGTGATGTAGTAGCGGAAGCGTTTAAATGAAGTCCTTGAACCACCTTGCGCTGGTATGTGAGGGCAAAGTAAGTTGATTAAAACAAGCAAGTACAAAGGTTTATATAAGAGTACAAAGAATACGAAGAGATATAATTAAACTGTTTTACTGTTGCGGTTCGATACAGTGCGACTCGGGCAACTGCTCAATGTCGAGTCAGTTGTGTGTCCTTGCTGTCGCGCTGCATTTGTCAAGTCAAAGGTCGCTGACCTTTGACTTTCGCGTAACCTCCAGCGGTTACTTCAACCTCCGAGGGTTGACTCGCTGGTGCCTCGATATGCTCTGCTTCGCTTGTGCCTTGGTGTTTCGATACGACAGAGGCGCTTAAGATTGTTTGTTCCCAACAGAAAGATCCTAAGGGCTATTTCTCAGCCCAACAAAACCCAACCGGACGGTCCAACAGCCCTGGCCGGAGATTGACGCGCGATATTTCAATGTACGGTACTTCTAATGACTGGCGGATGAAGCTCATTTGCGAGTTGTCGTGAATAAAGTTACGAAGATACAGGCCCATAACTAGACTACAGTTATCGTGAAAATATATAACACGAAAAAAGTGTCACTTTTCCATCCGGTCGGGCCAAAGTTGCGAAACTTCAATACGGACGGTTCTGTTCTCGATATTAGGACCGTCCATTTCAAAATGTACGGTCAGTCCGCAAAAAAGAAAAAAGAAACAAAATGGTTACACGCCCTTAGCCCATATTAACCTCGTTTTAGATGTTCTGCGTTCATTTTGTAGTTTTTTGTATCGGAGTGCAATTTAGTTCATTAGTGATACCTTATGGCACAGTAGGCCAAAACGACTTCAGTTCTCTTGTCCCGCTAACCTTTCTCGATCCCACCTCTCGCCCGCTCCCATCGCTCGTCTACCGTCACGCTAACACGCTTGACGCGATAGCCTTTACCGCGCTGCTAATATCAGTGGCCGTGATCCCGCCCGTTATCAACGTTTCTCGTCACTGGATCCCTCTCGCCTCTTGATACCTCCCGTTGCTCGATGCCAGTCGCCACATCCCTCTCATCTCCCCGTCCCTCCGTCGTTTGACCCCCTCCGACGCCGCATCACTTCCGTCGACACCACCCTCTCGTCGCTCCCTCTCTCCCGTCGTTCGATCCCTCCCCTCAGTTATCTCTTCCGTCTCCCTCCTCCTCATTTACCTCCCTCCTTTCCCTCGGATACCACCTCCTCCACTAGCACCTTCTTCCTGCCATTCGCCCTAATTTCCCTTGCCGCTCGCCCTACTTTTCCCTACCCGCGGCCCTCGCTTCCCCCATCGCCCTCCGCGTTGCCCACACGCCCCCTGCGTCGCCCTCGCTTCTCGTCCCATCGCCTTCCCCGTCGCCCTCACTTCGTCTGCCCGTCTTCCGTGCTTCCTCCGCCCGTCTTCCGTGCTTCCTCCGCCCGTCTTCCGTGCTTCCTCCGCCCGTCTTCCGTGCTTCCTCCGCCCGTCTTCCGTGCTTCCTCCGCCCGTCTTCCGTGCTTCCTCCGCCCGTCTTCCGTGCTTCCTCCGCCCGTCTTCCGTGCTTCCTCCGCCCGTCTTCCGTGCTTCCTCTGCCCGTATGCCGTGCTTCCCCTGCCCGTCGCCCTACTTTTCCCTGTCCGTCGCTCTCGCGTCCCGTCCCATCGCCTTACTCGTCGCCCTCGCTTTCCTTGCCCGTCGCCCTCGCTTCCCCTCCCATGCCTTGCCCGTCGCCCTCGCTTCCCCTCCCAGTGCCTACCCCGTCGCCCACGTTTCCCCTCACATCGCCACATACCTCCATACACTTTACCACACGTGCCTTTGCCATCAACTCCCGCATACACCCGCCCTACTTCCCCCCACCTACCGCCCTCCATCCTTCCGAATCCGGTCTTCCATTCTACCATCTCCCTTGTTCCTTCCTTCATACTGTCCTTTGCTTCAATGCTGAGATTGGTACAGGGAAATCTGTCAAACGAAGGCAATGGTGGCATGCAGATTCATCTGCAGATTCACCTTCCTTCCCTCGCTCGCTCTCTTCCTCTCTTCCTCTCTCCCTCTCTCCCTTTCTTCCTCTCTCCCTCACACTCGTCAATACCTCTCTCCTTTCTTCCCGCACCCGCTCCCCTTCCTCCCCTAGCTACCGTTCTATTCCTTCCCTCTATTCGTCTCACGTTCCTTCACTTTCTGCCCATCTCCTTCCCCCATTACGCCTTCCTCCATCCCCCGAATTTTTCACCTCACCCCCTCTACTTACCTTCCTTCATCCCCCGATGTTAGCACGGCATCCCACTATTTACCTTCCTCCAGGCCCGGACTTACCCCTGCCTCTTCCCACTTACCTCTCTTCATCTCCTGATTTACCCCCCCACATTTCCCCCCACCTGTCCCCACCCTCTTAGCTAACCCCTCGTTTTCCCCCCCACTAACCTCCTTCCACCCCTAGGCTAACCCCCCTCATACTCACCTCCCTCCATCCCCCAAGTCACCCTCTCTGAGGGGAACTGCAGGGAGGGAAAGAGGAGTGGAAGAGGGGGGGGGGAGAAGGAGGAGGCATGGGCAGGGGGGTGGGAGGACAAAGATTTACCCCACATTCCCCCCCCCCATTACCCCCACTCACCTCCCTCCATCCCCCGATTTACCCTCCCAAAGAGGAACTGCAGGGAGGGAAAGAGGAATGGAGGGAAGGCGGGAGGAGGTATGGGCAGAGGGGTAGGAGGACAAAGAGAGTGAAGGAGAGGAGAGAGTACAGGGAGGGAAAGAGAAAGGGAGACGAGGAGGGAGAGCCATTTGAAGGGGGGTGGGTGGGAAAGGTCTATAGCAAGTACTGATGCTCCCCTGCAAGTCGCCCTCGCTTCCCCTGCCCGTCGCCCCTCCTCCCCCCACTCCCCTCACATATTGCCTCCCAATTCTACCCCCCAATTACCCCTTTTTGTCTCCCTACTTACTGCTCTCCCTCCCCCCACTAACTCACTTCTCGCCCCCCAGTTACCATCTTCCCTCCCCCTGCATTTCCCTCACACTCTCTCTCCTCCAATCCCTCTTTGTCTACCTTCTCCTTTCCCTCTACCTTCTCTTCTTTGAACTTTTAACCCAACCCCTTATCTCCTACCCTCCATTCATCCGACCCTCTTTTTCCCCCAGCCTCCCTCTCTTCCACAATCCGTATCTACCTGCCTCCATGTTTCCCACCCTCGGTTCTCACTGCCACCCCCCCTCTGCTTCCCAACTTTGACTATTTGATATCGTGCTCCATATTTCAAATCTCCATATGTCTAATCTCTCGATCTTCCTATCTCCATTTTTTCCTCCCTCGCACTACCACAAGTCGTGGACTTACTTTACTACCACAAGTCACGCTCTACCCTTGTGAGTAGTAGGCCAGAGGAGGGGGCGAGAGCAGGATGTGGAAAGGGGAGAAGAACAGGGGAGGGGCTGACAACTGTAGAGATAGAGGTAGGAGAAAGGGGAAAGGGTAGAGGCTGACATGAAGTATAAAAATTCACCATCCTGGCCCAAAAGGAAAGTCAGACATGTATGCCTCGGACCACAACACATCATGCCAGTACACACCACTCCATCTGTGTGGCCGCTTGCCTCTGTGACTGAGTGCATTTGTTCCCCATCATAATCATTAATAATTGTACCTAGGACACAAATTCCCTCCATCTCTCCACCCTCACTGAGTAAACAAGCATCCCATAACCAACCTCCCCTCTCACCATGCAACGTCTACTGCTACCCCCTCTCCTTCCCCCGCAAAAACGTCAGCACTAACTTCCTTTCAACAAACTGGCTCGTCGTGTTGCTCACAACCTCCCCAAGACTCTACACAGCAATGGCATTCACCATGGTGATGGACGGGTTCCTCCACGCAGCAGGCACCGCATTGAACCCATACCCACCGTTCTTCAGCTTCCCGATCATGAACTGCATGAACGCCTTGGCAATCTTCCCACCAGTCACACCCGTCAGCGACTTGCGGATGAACCCATACTCCATGGAAACCATCGCAGGGGTCTTCGCTCCGGCCTTCCAGATGAAATCCACGCTGCTCCAGGACCCGTCGGCTGCGGGAGGCGCGCCCACGAGCGCCGCGCCGGGGACCCACGACGGCGACGCCGTTGGCGTTCTTGAGCGCGGCGATCACGCGGTTCGGGTTGTTGGGCTTGCGGCGGTTGTACACGACGCTGCATCCGCCGGTGAACGCGTAGCCGATGGCGCCCTTGGTCTTGAGCACGGCGGCGCACACGGCGGTCGTGCCCTCCACCTTGGTGAGGCCGGCATACGTCATGGCCGTGCCGTCCGTGCCGTCGCCATAGCCCGAGACGGCCTTGGACCACATCGTCTTCACAATCGCCGTGGATCCGGACTTGTCGCTGCGAGCAACGCGGGTAATGGCGCCCGCGACCTTGCCAACCGCGCCGGGAACGGCGCCCCAGGCGGAGATAGCGCCGCTATAGATCTGATACGCCTGGGTGGCCGTCAGCACGACGCCGGGCTTGGCGTTTACGAAGAAGCTGAAGGTGGAGACGCAGAGCGGCACGGTGATCTTGCCGCTGGCGACGACGCCGCCCTCTTGCGTGGCGGTCATGGGATCATCGGAGACGGCAATGAGGTAGGTGCCGCCGTTGAAGCCGGTGATTCCGGCGCCTGATCCCACCGAGTCGTATGCAACGACGTCCTGGGAGATTCCCGGCTTGGCCTGATGTAGAGGCGTGTCCTCTAGTTGGCAGGAACTAGGAATTGTTCTAAGCAGTAGAGCACACTCTTGGCTTTCCAAGGAGCCGTAGAACACGTAATTCGCCCAAGTATCGGCTGAGATACGGCTTTCAACGTGCTAGGTAGTGCTCTAAGATTGAAGGATAGAAAGTCTCTGGATTTTGTGTCGAGTTGAACTGTGTATAGAAAACTCTGATTTTCAGTATATCATGCATACAAAGCAATCACAATATATAGCTACTCAAAACATCGAGTCGCGCATGTAACATACGAGATGCATCGAGAACATTCGCGTAACAATTCGAAGGGGTGAAATTCGGCACCCGAATTTCACCGAACCGAATTCTTCCTTAGTCTCGATCCTTCTTGTGTTGCCATGTGGCACCAATTGAGTGGGTCTTCCGAAGTCAACCCACACACTTCGTGAAACCTGCAGCTCTCTCAAGCGGTGAGCACCGAAACACATTCGGTGGGTTGGGGGCATATCAATTGCCCCACCACCGTTTGCTTCTAACTCACGCGACCTCCAACACTCCCCCTTGCACCCAACCCACTAGGTGTGCAATCCAACATGCTCGTAGCATGCACGGGACGGATCTTTAGGGGGTAGTTCCATGAGAGGATCCATGTGTTCATCATCACCCATGGTTGCGAAGCAAAATGCCGCCCCCTCCTTATCCAACTTCCCAACGGCTACCGTAGCATAGTCGGCGTACTTGGAGGGAGGACGAACCTCACGACGCTCGCGGGTCAAGGCCAATGGTAGGGAGGAAGGTGTGGAGGTAGTTGCCGCCTCGGTAGGTGACACCTCCACGACATCATCAACGCTCTCCTCGTTGTTCTCTCCCCCTCCATCGGCTTCCTTCTCCACTTGAGGTGGAGTCTCACTCTCTTCAACCTCCTCTCGTGGCGGAAGGATGAAAGTGAGTTGTTGAGTGGGTTTCTCCTTCGACGGGAACTTGTCTTCATCGAAGACCACGTCCCGAGACGTGACGACACGCTTTTCACCCAAGTCCCACACTCGCCATGCACGCTCGTTTGGCGCAACTCCCAAGAAGATCGCCGCACGAGCTTTCGGTTGCAACTTGTGGCGAAGAGGATCCGGTATATGGTAGTAGCAAAGGCACCCAAAGGTGCGTAGGCGGGATAGGTTCGGCTTCGTTCCGGTCCATGCTTCGAACGGATTCATTCCCGGTAGCACCTTTGTCGGCACACGATTACGAATCCATGCCGCTAGCTCACTCGCCTCTCCCCACCACTCGTTCCCAAGCTTGGAGTGTTGAAGTAGTGAACAAACGGCTTCCACCAACGTGCGATTAAGCCGCTCCGCCGCTCCATTTTGTTGGGGTGTGTAGGGTGTCGTGACGTCGTGCTTTATGCCCTTGCTCTTCATCCATTTCTCAAGCTCCGCGTTCACGAATTCGCCCCCACCGTCGGTGCGAATACACTTGATCCGCTTCTTGTCGTCGTCGCAAACATCGAGCGCCCACTCTTGAATCGCCTTGGCCGCATCTCCCTTAGCCTTCAAGAGTCGGGTCCAACACATCCGCGTCGCGTCGTCGAGCATCACCAAGAGGAACCGCGCTCCTCCCTTTGATGCATGTCGCATCGGTCCACACACGTCCATGTGAACAAGCGCAAGCGGGTCCTTAGCGAGGGGTGACGTTCGGCTACCAAATGGCTTGCGAGCCATTTTTCCTTCGACACACGCCGCGCACACGCCCTTCTCGTCGTCGCCGGCGATCACGTCAAGTCCCTTCGCAAGTCCTTTGTTGGCCAACTCCTTGACCGAGTCGTAATTGGCGTGCGCAAGTCGATCATGCCACGCCTTAAGAGTTGCCTTGGAACCTTGCGCCACGTTCGATGAAGCCACTCTTGGGTACGTCTTGAGTTGGTAGATATCTCCATTGAGAACCCCTTGCGCGAATTGCTCCCCCTTCCAAAAGAGGTTCATCTTCGCACCGTCGATGGTGGCGATCACGCCCTTCTTCGCCAGTTGCGTGACGGATAGAAGGTTCACCTTCACCCCCGGGACGTGAAGCACGTTCGTGACGTCCACCGGTCCGCTATCGACGATGAGGCGCGTACTCCCAACTCCAACCACCGGTAGAGATTCGTTGTTTCCGAACACGATGCTCGTGACGTCTCCCGGAGCGCCAATGTTGTTGAGGAGCGACGCCGAGTGCGTCATGTGTTGCGTTGCGCCGGTATCGAGGAACCACGCGTCGCTTGGAGTTTTGTTCCCGTTGCCGGCCACTAACACGAGCGACTCCTTTGAATCATCGGCCTCGCCGGATGCCGTGTGCGCGTTGCCCTCTTCGTCCCGCGCCTTCGATGGAGTCCAATCGCTCGGGCGCTTCCGACACTCACGCCAAAAGTGTCCCGGTTTGCGGCAATAGTGACACTTGCCGCGATGCTCACTCCCACCCGACGATTCATTCGTCGCACCCTTGCTCCACTTGGACTTCTTTCCGGAACTCCCTCCGGAGTACATGGCGGTCCCCTCGCTCTCATTCGCGAATTGTCGGCGACGTGATTCCTCATGGAGAAGCCGACCGACCACCATTTCCTTCGTCCAAGTGCCTTGCACGCTATCGAGTGTCGTAATCACCGTCGACCACTCTTCCGGAAGGCCGCAAAGCAAGGTGAGAATCCAATCCTCCTCCGTGACCGTTCCACCGAGGTCCATGAACGATTCCCCGAGTTCCTCCACACGAGTCGCATACTCGTGCATCGATTCGCCCGCGCGCATCTTCACCGTGTAGAACGCATTCCGGGCTAGGATCTTGCCGTGGAGAGTCTTGTTCACGTGGATGGTCTCGAGCCGCTTCCACGCTTCATGCGCCGACGCTTCGAGCTTGATGCACATGCGCACCGAGCTCACGAGATTGATGCCGATGCGCGAAATCAACGTAGCGAACGCCTTTTGGTCCTTCTTCTTCCATGCCGCGATGTCGCTCTCGTCGTCCGGCTTCTTCTCCGTTCCATCGAAGAATCCCCAAAGTCCCCGCTCCATCATGAGCACTTGGAACTTAAACTTCCACGCGGAGTAATTTTGTCCCGTGAAAATCGGTACCGCCGACGTGTCGAACATCGTCGCGGTTGCCCAGGGTTCGCCGGTATTTACAACGACACCATCCAAGGAAGTGCGGGAGGCCTCGCTTGACGTCATCATGCTTGCTCCTTGTCGCGCGCGTAGACTCCTCCGACCAGCTCTGATACCACTGATGTAGAGGCGTGTCCTCTAGTTGGCAGGAACTAGGAATTGTTCTAAGCAGTAGAGCACACTCTTGGCTTTCCAAGGAGCCGTAGAACACGTAATTCGCCCAAGTATCGGCTGAGATACGGCTTTCAACGTGCTAGGTAGTGCTCTAAGATTGAAGGATAGAAAGTCTCTGGATTTTGTGTCGAGTTGAACCGTGTATAGAAAACTCTGATTTTCAGTATATCATGCATACAAAGCAATCACAATATATAGCTACTCAAAACATCGAGTCGCGCATGTAACATACGAGATGCATCGAGAACATTCGCGTAACAATTCGAAGGGGTGAAATTCGGCACCCGAATTTCACCGAACCGAATTCTTCCTTAGTCTCGATCCTTCTTGTGTTGCCATGTGGCACCAATTGAGTGGGTCTTCCGAAGTCAACCCACACACTTCGTGAAACCTGCAGCTCTCTCAAGCGGTGAGCACCGAAACACATTCGGTGGGTTGGGGGCATATCAATTGCCCCACCACCGTTTGCTTCTAACTCACGCGACCTCCAACATGGCCGCGTTCCATGCCTTGATGAGCGCCCCGCCAGCCTGGAATGTGGCATATATCACGACGGAGGGACGTTTTTAGGATGTTTTCATGCGACGGGGTGGATTTAGTTACGTGCTGGAAATAATGCTGATGTTGAGAGATAACATTTTCGTGTGAGGAAACTTACAGGTGCGAAGGTTGACGCGCCGCCCATGAATCCAGCGAGCGAATGTGACGCAAACGATGCAATCAGAAAAGCGACTGCGAGGGTTCCGTAGTAGGTGTGAGCCATGATGGTGCGATTGGCAGTGGCAGGTAGAACACTGACGAGAGGAATTCGGGTTTGATTCCAATGTTCACACAGGTTGAATGATTCAATGTATTGCACTGAAGCAATTTATGCTTCAGAATTTGGAATTGCGCGCTTCGTGAGTTTGGCGGCTCCTGGGGCGGGGAGGAGAGGAGTTTCTGCGTGGCAAGGGTAACACGCTGCCTTGCGAAAACTGGCATTTCCAAGAGTCAGCAAGGGCCATGCCTGTGCATAGCTCACGGATTGGTTGCGATGAATTACATGAGTTCGCGTAAAGCCGCCGTTTCTTACGGGTGGACGGTACTTGCGTCAACGGGTCTGCGAGAAAAAAAAAAACAAAATACATTTACATGCATCCGCGATGGGGTTAGTTGTTTTTGTGTATGTTTCCAGTGTCGGCACTTTCGGCAGTTACAGGACTCTCGTACAGGCAGTTTCTGGTCGGTTGCTACCACTGTTATTGTGCGACTCGAAATGGAGGAATCTTTTGACATGGAATCTTTTATTATTCTGCAGCATCTCCTTCACAACACACACACAACTCCCATCGTCGGCGCGGACAAGACAACGTGACAAATGTCACATTCTACTGGACTTGATTGGAGCTACTTCCATAGTAATTCTCTTAGTATCATTAATATATAAAAACATGATTCCTTAGTATGGTTGCATTATAACTCCGAATATATCTCAGCAGACAAGCGAGTCTGCCTGGGGGAGCTCGCTGCCCGCGGGCAAAATAAATTGTTGTGATAATGAAGGATCGTAGTGGATAGAATAAGTCTGCTAAGTCTAGGAGAAGACAATGAAG